CACATCCTCTTCCCTCCCCTCCCATCACTTCCCTCTACCTAATCTAAGGAAACGCTCTTCTTCCCTAGTGCCCCGCACCGTATTGTGAATTAGCATTTGCCTATTAGAGAAAACATTTGGCCTTTGGTTTTGTTGGATTGGCTTATTTCACTTAGCATAGTCTCCACCTCCAACCATTTACTGGCAGATGCCATAATTTTGCTGGTGGGACTGCAAATTGGTGCAACTACTATGGAAAGCAGTATGGAGATTCCTCGGAAAACTGGGAATAGAACTACCATTTGACCCAGCTATCCTACTCATTGGTTTTTACCCAAAAGACTTAAAATCAGCATACTATAGTGACACACACACATCAATTTTTACAGCAGCTCAATTCACAATAGCTAGACTATGGAACAAACCTAGGGGTCCCTCAAAAGATAAATGGATAATGAAAATGTGGGACATATAATCTTTTACCACTTCTATTTAGTTCTTGAAACTCTAGCCATAGCAATGAGACAGATGAAAGAAATTAAAGAGATACGCATAGGAAAAGAATTCAAACTATCACTATTTGCTGATGACATGATTCCATACCTAGAGGATCCAAAAAATTCCACCAGAAAACATCCAGAACCGATAAATGAATTCAATGAAGTAGCAGGATATAAAATCAACACCCATAAATCAAAGGCATTTCTATACATCAGTGACAAATCCTCTGAAAGAGAAACTAAGAGAACTACCCCATTTACAATAACTTCAAAAAATAAAATAAAAAACTTGGGAATCAACTGAACGAAAGAGGTGAAAGACCTCTACAATGAAAACTATAGAATACTCAAGAAAGAAATTAAAGACAACCTAAGAAGATGGAAAGATCCTCCTTGTTCTTGAATAGGCAGAATTAATATTGTCAAAATAACCATACTACCAAAAGCACTATACAGATTTAATGCAATTCCAATCAAAATCCCAATGACATTCCTCATAGAAATAGAAAAAGCAGTCATAAAACTCATCTGGAAAAATAAGAGACCTAGAATAGCCAAAGCAATCCTTAGCAAGAAGAATGAATCATATTGCATCATGCCACACCTTAAACTATACTACAAAGCCGTAGTAACAAAAACAACATGTTATTGGCACCAAAAGATTGACTAATGGTACAGAATAGAGGACACAGAGACAACCACCTAAATACAGTTACCTCATACTAGACAAAGGTGCCAAAAACACATATTGGAAAAAAGATAGCCTCTTCAACAAATGGTGCTGGGAAAACTGGAAATCCATATGCATCATAATGAATTAAGCCCCTATCTCTCACCACGCACATAACTCAACTCAAAGCTGATCAAGGACTTAGGAATTAGACCAGAGACCCTGCACCTAATGAAGAAAAAGTAGGCCCAAATCTTCATCATGTCAGATTAGGCCTAAACTATCTTAACAAGACTCCTATAGTGCAAGAAATAAAATCAAGAATTAATAAATGGAAGGGATTCAAACTGAAAAGTTTCTTTACAGCAAAAGAAACAATCAGTGAGGTGAAGAGACAGCTTACAGAATGGGAGCAAATTTTTACCACATGCACATCAGATAGAGCACTAATTTCTAGGGTACATATAAAGAACTCAAAAAACTTAACATTAATAATAATAATAATAATAATAACAACAACAACAACCTAATCAATAAATGGGCTAAGGAACTGAACAGACACTTCTCAGAAGATGATTAACGAATTTATGGAAAAATGTTCAATATCTCTAGCAATTGAAGAATGCAAATGAAAACTACTCTAAGATTTTATCTCACTCCAATCAGAATGGCCGCTAGAGGATGTGGGGGAAAAGGCACAATCATACATTGGTGGTAGGACTGCAAATCAGTGCAACCAATCTGGAAAGCAATATGGAGATTCCTTGGCAAACTTGAGATAGAACCACCATTTGACCCAGCTATCCCACTCCTTCGTTTATAGCCAAAGACTTAAAAACAGCATACTTCAGTGATGCAGTCACATCAATATATATAGCAGCACAATTCAAAATAGCTAAATCGTGGAACGAACCTAGATGCCCTTCGGTAGATGAATGGATAAAGAAACTGAGGTATGTATACACAGTGAAATATTACTCAGCATTAAAAGAGAATAAAATCATGGTATTTGCAGGGAAATGGATAGAGTTAGAGAACATTATGCTAAGTGAAGTAAGCCAATCCCAAAAAACCAAAGGCCAAATGTTTTCTCTGATATGTGGATGCCGATACATAAGTGGGGTGAGGGGGAGCATGGGAAGCATGGAGGAGCTTTGGAGAGGGAAAAGGGGAAGGAGAAGGGAGGGAGCATGGGGGTAGGAAAGATGGTGGAATGAGATGGACATCATTACCCTAAGTACACGTATGAAGACACAAATAGTGTGACTCTACTTTGTGTACAACCAGAGAAATGAAAAACTGTGCAATATATGTGCACTATGGATTGATATGCATCCTGCTGTAATGTATAACAAATTAGAATATATAAATTTTAAAAAATAAAATAAAAACAAAAAAGAAAAAATGTTCTCTAAACAAATGCAATTTTGAAAACATAATTGTGACCAATTGTTGAGAATTATTAAGCAGTACTGAATAAACCACTAATATAAATATATTTTTAAAAGTTGAAGTTAGTAAATATTCTAAAAACACTTCTTCAGGTTACATTTATTTTTTTAGTTACAGATGGACAAATACCTTTATTTTGTTTGTTTATTTTTTTATGTGGTGCTGAGGATGAAACCCAGGGCCCCCGCATGTGCTGCTCCAGCGCTCTACTGCTGAGCCACAACCTCAGCCCTTCAGGTTACATTTAAAAAGATGTTTACATTTTTCCTTTATAAAGCATGAAATAAAGATCCATGATCATATTTATTTCTTTATTGTTGTTTGTTTGTTTGTAGATGGACACAATAACTTTATTTTATTTGTTTATTTTTATGTGGTTCCGGGAATCAAACCCAGTGCCTCATGCATGCTAGGCAAGCACTCTACCAATGAGCCACAACCCGGGCCTCCATGATCATTTTTAAATAATTTAAATAATAATTTAAATGATGTGTCTTGAAAGGTTATGTAGCTGAAAATCTCTAATTATATATGTGAACTTCTATTTTTGAAGAGCTCTCAGTACTAAAGCTGTGAAGAGAAACTGAGGAGGGAGCAATAAAGAGGACACAAGGGTGAAGCCATGAATGAGGACCTCAGGCTTACTGGCTGGACCCCGTTAATCCAGGGTCATGGTGGTGTAACACAGCCTGAACACTATGCTCCTCTGTAATTTTCTTAACTCTCATGTGAGTTTAAGGTGATAGTTCGCAAACATGGAAGCACAGGTGTAACTGCAGAGCTTGTTAAAAAACACAAATCTCATACTTAGGGTATCCCATATCTGAACTTTCAACTAGCTTCTCAAGGGATTAGAAATCTTACTCTGTAGGGATGCTAATTCTAGGTGAATTTCATGCAAACTTGGCTTCAAGAAATTCCATTAATTTACCCTTAGGATTATAAATCAGAAAATAAAATTGTGTAAGTTGAGCTGTAGTTTGATGATTTGAAGTGAAGCTTTATATCAATAAGAACTAATTGTGCTTGAAGCCAATTTTTAAGGAGCCCTGGGTTGTACACCGCCCCCCCCCCAGCCACCTCCCGACACCTCCCACCCCCACCACACACAATTGCTTAAATTCACTGAATAACATTAGATCCTCTTTGGTGTAGGTATATTCCAGCTTACTAACTTGTGATTTATATTTGTTTTAATTGGATTTTGTTTTCATTTACTTTAAAAGACATGAGAAATGACCAAGTGAGAGCTACTTGGTTAATCTGCTTACTTTCCAAATTAGAATAGAGTTGCTTGAAACATAATGTAATGAGACATTTTTTTCCTTGAGAAAAACAATAATAAAATAACAAATAAATAAAGGAAAGATTTCCATTGTCCAGAGCTATCTCTTTCCCAACCTTCCATAGGGGGAATAAAACCCAGGGACCCTTTACCACTGAGATTTATTCCTAAACTCTTTTTTTTTTTTTTTTTTTTAATTTTGAGACAGGGTCTAAGTTGCAGAGGCTGGCCTCAACTTGTGATCTTCCTACTTTGGCCTCACAAATCACTGGAATTATAGAAATGTGCTACTGTGCACAGTTTGAGCTGTAATCTTTAAAGAATGGGGAACAAAGAAGTTAGACATGGTTATGAACATGGCCAATGTGAACACAGAGAAGCAAAAGTGGAATAGGACAAGGGAGGCCAGGAACAAGATGGGGGTATTTCTTGCCAGGGACAGACACACTAGATAACTTCTGTGACACGGTCTCCTGTGGTCTGTTTTGAGGGTACACTGGAGGATTCTGTCCTAATTGCAAGGCAGGTTCTCTAATTCTACAGAGATTTAAAATAGGAGAAATAGATAAAAATGGCTAAATGTTCGATAAAATAGTATTGATGAGAAGTAGCTGAAGAAAATGCAAATTGGCTATTACATTGAGTATAAATTTGGAAATTCTAATTGGGTCAGTTTGGGTTTCTGTGGTTCAAGTCAGTCAATCTCTCTGAGGCTGCATTATCTTCTCAGTAAATTGGGCAAAACAGCATCTGTAAAAGGAGATATTAAATATTAAATACGAAGGTCTTACAAATGGTGCTACAGTCTCTATTGTCATCATTGCTGTTATCGCTATTTTTTTTTTTGATACCAGGGATTGAACTCAGGGGTACTCAACCACTGAGCCACATCTCCAGTCCTTTTTTGTATTTTATTTAGAGACAGGGTCTTAGCACCTCACTAAGTTGCTGAGGCTGGCTTTGAACTCATGATCCTCTTGCCTCAGCTTCCTGAGCTGCTGGGATTGCAGGCATGTGTCACCATGCCTGGTTTATCACTGCTATTTTAAATTACAGTTTCTTTTGGTTCAGCTGCACTTAGAGCACAGCTCAGTTATAAACCATCAGTACTCACCAATGAAGAGCTGGCTGTTGAGCTGCAAGAGGAGGTGCCCACCAGTGGGGGCAGGTTGAAACTTTTGAGGGAGCTGATCCACTTGGAGAGATGCTTCTTTAACATTTCTTTCTGCCTTCACGTGATGCCATCGGTTGTCATTAAAGGGAGTGGGTGACTGTACTGTGACTTCACAAGGACCATTCCCCACATCAAAGGAAAAGGTCACTTCTGTGGGAGCTGGAAATTGTAGATATGAAAGTTTCTCAAGTTAATTCAAAAGGGAGAAAATGTAATCCTGAGTGGACATGAAAACAGTATTGTGGTATGCTCATAATGAATAGCGCAGTGATGCAGGAAAGAATTACTTAGAGTTGGTTAGGAGGGAAAAATAAATTTGAATCCTGGAGAAAGAAAAATAAAACTGATTTTAATACATTCTTTCTCAGAGTTTGTTATGGTTGAGATATGAGATGTCCCCCAAAAGCTCATATGTGAATCAATACAAAAGGGTTTAGAGGTGCACTGATTGGGTTATGAGAGCCTTAACCTAATCAATGTGTTAACCCATTAATAGGAATTAACTTGTTGGCAACAGTAGGCAGATAAGGTGTGGCTGAAGGAGGAAGGTCCCTGAGGACATGCTTTTGGGGTTTATATTTTGTTCTTGGTAAGTACAGCTCACTCTCTCTGCTTCCTGGTGCCAGGTCCTGAGCTGCTTTCCTTCTCCACACTCTTAGGCCATTATGTTCTGTCTCAACTCAGGCCTCAAGGAATGGAGTTGGCCATCTATAGACAGAGACCTCTGAAACCATGAGCCTCCAAATAAAACTTTTCCTTCTCTAATTGTTCTTATCGGGTTTTTGGTTACATCAGTGAAAAAGCTGACTAAAAAAGAGTTTAATTGCTCATCTTGCTAAGCTCTAACTAGCAGACATTTACCTATAGAAAGAAATCTAGCATGTGATCTGGCTTCATATAAATGATTTTGATTAAAGGTGATTTAAAACTTCATATAATTTAAAAAATCGTAAGTGAAATCTTTGACCATAAGAAATAAAGATTTGCACATGTGATTAAATAATGTGAGCAGTCAATTCAGTCAAATAATTTTTAATTTAGTAGAAATTAGTTATTTGACCAGTCTGGTTTAATCTCCTGATTGCACACAGAAGTAAAGTAGCACCAAACCATTATAATCTGTTGTATATCTCAGGAGATGTTGTTTCACTCTCTACCTGCTATAGTTTGGATGAGTAATTCCCCAAAGGCTCAGGTGTTATTAAAGTCTTGGTCCTCAGGGTGGTGCTATTGGGAAGTGGAACCTTTGGAAGGCAGGACCTTCCAGGAAGGTCTTTAGGTAATTGAGAGGGCATAGCCTTGAAGAGGATTGTGGGGCCTTAGCCCTTTCCTCTTTCTCTTTTTTTCTGGCTCAGGGGTAAGCACATGCTCCCATGATGACATACTGCCCTCACTAGAGGTCCAACACTATGTAGCCACTCTATTTTGGGCTGAAACCTCTAGAACCATGAGCCAAAATAAACCTTTCTAAGTTAACTGCCTTAGATATTTTGTTATAAGGATAGAATGCTGACTTCTTTAAGATAAAAGAATTTTTTTAAATAATAGAATTTTGGTATTTATAAAAATATACTTGATAAGGAAGCATGGCAGCAGATTAGGAATGAGAATACTAAAGGGTTTATTGCTCATTACTGAGCATTCTGTGGCTTTGTCTCAGTGGCAACTCACCGCGCAGTTCTAGTCTGATAAAGTCTGTGATACCCAGGTTCTCTACAAACACCCCAGAAGAAGCTGTTGTCTTAAAAAAGAAAGACACATCAGCACTGAGCTCTCCACGGAATGTAGGGAAATGAAGATACGAAGTCTCAGTATTGAATGAAGCTGAATTCCAAAATGAATCTGTTTATTAAAAAAAAGAGTGAAAGTAATAGTGAAACAAAACAATAATTGCATTTTATGTGTCTAGCATTTATTTTTACTATTAAATGCATTACTCATCGAAGGAAGTCTTCATTTTGAGGTTCTTCTAGACATGAAGCCATGATATGAATATCCAAATGGTGATTACTTGGATCATTAAGATTCTGGACATGGATAACTGAGTAGAATCACTATGGAAATGGTCTGTGTTTTTAAACACAATTTTACTTTTAATTTAAGGAGTTAAAAATGACTCTTGATTTTGTTATTAATCTGCATTGATTTGTGTAACTTTTACCAAAATTGAGAGATCTCCCTCTTGATATCCCCCTAAACTCACATCCTTTCTTCCTCATCCCTTTATAGTTTGCCTTTTCTAAAGGTCCTATAAAGAGTGATGCACTTTTTAACATTTCAAGATTGGCTCCTTTCACTCAGTATAATGGCTTTGAGATCCACTCACATTGTTGTACATATAAATATCTGCTTCTTCCTCCTACTGACTTCTCTAATGTAGATATGCTATAGTTTGACCAAACTGAAGAACATTGAGCATCATTTCCAGATTTGGGAATAGAGCTGCTATAATATTTGTGTACAGTTTTTCGGGTGAACATAAGTTTTCATTTCTCTAGGTTAGTAAATACCCAGCGTGGATTTTCTGGATCATATGGTAGGTATGTATTTAACTCTAAAGCAAACTGCCAAACAGTTTTCTAGAGTGGCTGTACATTTGTCATTTCCATCAACAATGTATGAGTATTTTTACATCCTCACACAGCACTTGGCATTAGAAGTTTTTGTTTGTTTTTTGGCAATTCACATTGGTGTGTTGTGGTATCAATTTGCCTTTCCTAATGGCTGATGTTGTAGAACATCTTCTCATGTACATCTGTGCTATCCTTACATCCTTTTTGATGAAGTGTCTCCTCAGTTTGGGGAGAATCAACATCTTTCCTATACTGAGTTTTCCAATCATGGACACAGTATATGTGTCTCCTCTTATTTATATTTTCTTGATTTTTGCCTTCAGACTTTTATAGATTTCAAGTAAACATGTTTTGTTGCATGTCAGTAGGGTATGTGTGTGTGTGTGTGTGTGTGTTTAAATTCCTTGAGATTTTCTGTGAAAACAGTCATATAATACACACACACACACACACACACACACACACACATATATATATATATATATATATATATATAGTATGTATGAGTAGAATTTTATTTATTTCAATCTGTGTATGTTTATTTATTTTATTACATAATTGCAGGCTTTGTCTTGTTCTCAATCTCAGGAGAAAAGAATTCAGTTTTTTACTATTGATTACAATGCTAGCTTTGTTTTGTGTAGATATTCTTTCTTGAGCTAAGAAAGTTCTATTGCTATTTTGCTAAGCATTTTATTATAAATTATTATGCTGCATTAGTTATCATGATAATTCAAATTATCATTTAATCAATTCATTCAGAATAAAACCTTGACATGTGATTTTTATTATCTAAACTATTAGTCATAACATTCAGAAACACTAGGACTTTCTCCCAGAGCAATTCCTTGTATAGGCCCCATGGAGAACCTTGGGTCCCATAGGCTCCACAGGATTTCTCTGTCTTAGAGGTCAGCATGGCTACTGGGTCCTTGGTGGACCTCTGATTCAGGCAACATTGGAGAGTTCTGGGCAGAGGACTTACATGACAAGACTTCATTCACACTGGTGGCTGTGCTGAGAATAAGCCTGAGTGAGCAAAGACAGAGGCAGGCAGAACATTTCAAGAATGGAACAATAATCCAGGCCAGGTAGCAAAGGAAGTGGTGAGGTGTGGTCAGATTCTCAATCCATTCTTGAAGTTAGCAACAACAGGATTTGCTGATGAATCAGATGTGAGTAGTGATGAGAGTGTGAGAGGAAGAGAGAAGTTACAAGTGACCAATGGTCTCAGTTTAAGGGGTGATGAGAAGAATGGAATTGCCACACACTGAATTGGGCAAAGTTGTAGAAATTATTTTCTTTCTCACCCCCTGCTTTGTCAGGGTGAATCTGAAGCATCTATTAAGGCACAAGCAGAGGTTCATCATCCAGTCAGGTGGGCAAGCCTGAAGCTCAGTTATTGGGCTTGAGGTATAAAGTGGGGTTACTGAGTATTTAAAGCGAAGAGACTGATGGGAAGCGATCATTCTCATGCAGAGAAGGACAAGGTCAATGAGGGGAACAATGAACATCCCAACATGAGCCTATTGGTGAAATAAATACTGGAGGGAGGAGGGAAGGAGTAAAATGCAGACTTTGTGGTATGTTGGTGGCCTGGTAAGGAAAGTGAATTAAAAAGTGAATCATGATGGAGTCCAGTGGCCAGTCCATTAAGAGGAAAACTGAAAAATAATAATTGGGTTTAACAATATCAAGATCACACTGGTGACCTGGAAGAGAGCAGTGTGTGGGGAGGGAAGGAGGACAAACCTTGATGGAGTTTATTTAGAAGAGACCATAAGGATGGAAATGAAGATAGAACACATGTTTTTTGTTTTTCAGAAAGTTAAGATCATCAAAGTTCCTGGGTAACATTCAGAATTAATTAATACCTAATGGGATTAATTAATACTGTAGAATTCTGCCTATAATGGGCTCTGCCCTTTCATTTTCTCATTATCTTCTGGATTTTAGGCATATCAGCACTCATCAAAGTACTTGTACTTAGAACTTAGTAG